AATCTCACCAACAGCTTGGGCCAAAGGACAAATGTTCCACTATGTCTACTTTAAATAAAATCAATAAATCACTGAGATAACCTAAAGATACTCAAAGTATCGCAAATTGTTCCCAGAAGATCGCTAAAACAAAAACCCATCACCATCGTGATGGACAAACAGCATCAAATTTAGCCGTGTCATGCAAACAAAAGGCATTTTGGTTACTTTATAACCAAAATATGAGATTTCTTGATCATCTAAAACTGGGCAGCATATAAATTCAGAAAATTTCAACACAAATTTGATGACACACCTATCATTAACAGCACCAAAACAGTGAATTACTGTGAGCGGTCATCGAGTTGGAAACATACAAAATTCCTAATAAACATAGCTGGTTTATGCCTGTTAAGTATTGGTGGTTTTTATTGCCACCCATACTTGTGGTTAAATTAATAAAATTGTACAACTTTTACTAATGGGACCTATTGATTACAGATGGACAGAGACTCTGGGTTCCTGAAAGGTATTTGGTCAACTGTAGTCTAATACTCTATTTATTAAGAAAATCAGTTTCAACTCTACACTGATTCCAGTAACGATTTCCTGAGGAGATCCTCCATTTTTAAAATTCCTCGGGGAAAATTAAATTTAAAATGAGGTCAATGCTGAGTTTAGGAACCACTTCTGCCTGAATGATCAATCGCTAAACAAAGTAGGCTTGAGATGAGTGAGCTGCCACCCAGAGTCCAAAGATAAACTTCAATAAAGCCTCAAAAAAGTCAAACTTTAAAATGGTTTATTCATCGTTTCCTTTTGCACGTTTGAGGCCAACATAAACCCCGTGCGAAAGTTAATTATTCAACAAACATAAAACTAATAAACAGATGACCTCAGACCACTGCAGTGCTGGGTGGCAGAAATGTAGGTCAGGATTCAACAGGATATGATGCAATGATCCATAAATGTCTATATAATTGCTCTAATAAAAACAGGAGCTGAGCTGTGACTGAGTGGAAAAACAAGCGAGCGGCTTCCAGAATTATTCAACAAAATTTACAAGCGGACGGTGGCGGCTGGGCCTCGCAGCGTTCGGCTGACTTTCAGACGGGAGTGGAGGGAAAACCGAGGCTCTAACGGTTTGCTTCTGTCTCTCAGAGCCAGTCTACGTACCCACCCCAGGTATGCGCGGTATTTCACCTGCCTTCCCCCCCACAGGGAGCCGTCAGTTGCCCCTGCAGAGCCTTTATTTGCCCCTCAGTGATGTGTGAGGACATCAGTATGGTTACGTAACGCCGGCCCACCCAGACTGTCCACTCAGCTTCCTCCAGCGCCGTAAGTTCGGCACCCTGTGGTGCTATGCGTGAGAAGGAGGCCCCCCACGGGGCCGGCACGGCCGCTGCATTTCCACTCTACAATTACACTCAATTAGTTGGAGCTGCTCAGTAATAATATCAACGCCGGAGCCAATCAGACGACTTTGAGCATTCCTACCCGTCTCAGCCACAGCACCCCCCTCTATCCCACTGAATGAGTTTTAATGTCTCCGGTTGTAACGAGAAGGAACAAGACTTCACGCCGGAACGCACAACTTCGGTTCCTTGCGTTTAAATTTAGCGTGGACCCAACTAATTTGTCAAGTTTGGGGCGAACAAGCCAACGGAAGGCGCTCCAAGAGGACCGTGGCAGCCAATCAGCACCTAGAAACAGTTTTGTGCGAGGAGAGCCGGGAAACACAACCACATGCTGTTTATTCAATACGACTCGGCCGTTCAGTTAGCGCTTAATCAGTCATTCAGGGAGCTGGATTATTAACTCTCCCCTGCAGAGAGTTTTCTATTTGTTATCAATTATCACTAAGGATGACAGAAACAACCTTCACCGGTCTGGACTTCACAGATTCTCCACTCTGACCTGCAATCATTAAGCTTTCTCTAAACCATTCCACCTTCCAGTCAACGTTTTGCACTTTCATCATCTCTTCATCTACTGCAGTTTATTTTTATTGGCTCCGTTTGATGAGCTGGATCTAAAATCTCCTGATACTGAAGAAGAACCCAGTGTCCAATACAGCTCATCATTAACCCAAAGGATTAGCTATGTTATACAGACTGATGACGAATGAACTGTGAGGGTAAAAACTATGAAGGCTCTGGGATGTTATACATTGAATGCTGATTTAGCTCCTTGTATTTAGGAACCAAACTTGATTGTTTCTGAAGCTTTTTTTTCTTCTTTTTTTAAAATTTAGAACCACTTATCCTCCATAAGCTAGCTGCTGAAATCAGAATCCAGCTGCATCTCGGCATCAGTATTCTGATTTCCCTGCATCCGCCCTGATGCGGCTGAAGTGATGCATGCAGAGCGGACCCTGACTGTGCTGACCTACTTAAAGCCGGCTGGCAGCGTTTACCACGAGGCCGCCGGCTCCGCCGCGCTGCACGTGCTCGCATGACGAAGACACTTTCCTCTGCAGGCGCCCCATCAAACCATAAAAATAAACAGGGCCGGCAGAATCAACCCGGCAACACGGCGTGTTACGTAAGGCGGCTGCCCCAGTTACTGCCGCACCAGATCGCTGCGTCCAGATTACAAGGGGTCCCAAACGTAAAGCTGGATCAGATCACTCCGCCTCACTCAGTCAAACGAAGATCATTTGGTGTTTCAGGTGCCAACGTTTCTCTGACGGGCTAAAGGTTCTGGCTGCTGGCCACAGCGTTTCCTGTGTTTCCTCTAAAAAACTGCAAAAAACACAGAGTATTGCCAAGTCGTTTTGGTTCAGTTTCTAGTGTAAATATTGTAGTACACTTGAAATAAGTCAAAACTGGATTGAGTTAACTAGTCAGCAAGATATATGAGATTGCTTTAAGTCAAAAACTTCTTAGTATTGATGAAAAGGTGCCTGTTCTTTTGGTGGATTATCTCATTTATAAACATGGGAAAAATAGTGAAATTACTTGGCAATGGAGCTAGCATTTGTTCCCATCAAAATTAAGGAGTTATTGACTTAAAATTAGCTCAAATTTCCTGCTGAAGTGACAGTTTTGTCTTATTTTAATTGTCCTTAGATATTTGTGCTGGAAACTAGTACAAAAATACTTGGTAAGATGTTGTGTTTTTGCAAAGCACGCCAGAATCGCGTGTCCTCCATGTTTGTGGCCCAGCTGGGTTTATCTGAGCCAGCGTGTTTCCCCTTTAAGGCTTCCATGATTTATCCACATTTAGCCAATCCCAGTGATTCCAGTCCAACGAGCGGCTCTGCTGCGTGTCAAATATTCAAAGCCAACCCTTCATGTTTGGGTCTTGGGTTTCTCCTGCTGGACGCTGACCAAAAGGCTCCCGGCTCCTCTGTGTCCCACTATCACAGCACTCAGCTTCTCCACCGAAACACAGCAGAGAGAGAAAATCAGTGAAAATAATACGGCAGATTTCTTTTTTTGTTATTGTTGTTGTTGCAAATGACATGCACGGGTAGTTGAGTGTCCAAATGTGAGCGTGCTGAATCATAAAGCCGCTCCTGCGAACGTGACCCACTTTCAGCCTCGGCAGCTCCGGCTTCTGGAGCAATTAAAGCGGCGGAGTGGAGCGGAGCCTGATAAAGAGAAGCCGGCAGACGACGCGGTGGAGCCGCCCGACGCGTCGCACGGAGTCAAACTGAGGCCAATAAATAATAAATCGTGATGCGTCTCGCTCCTCCAGACTCTCTCTGCTGGAACATGATGAACACGTTCGCTGTTTGATGCCAAGAGTCACAGGAAAAACAAATTGGAGAGGAAGCTCCATCAATATTAGATGCACAGAGCATAAGGGGCTTTTGATTAGGATGCACGTTTTAATTTAACATGATGCATCCAGTTTCCAAAGGAAAAGACCAAAATTCAATGAACTTTTGGTTCAGAAACATCTAAAATCCTAAAAGCAGCTTAACTTAGTTAGGGTTAGGGTTTAAAACTCCAAATTAACCATAATATCCACTAATGAACATACTTAAAACGTTCGTCGCACCAAATCAGAAACTAACATCTGCAATTTGTTTTTTTAATTTCTTCAGCCAATCAGCAACAAGGAAAATGTGATTGGCTGCTTTGCTAACACCAACCAATAGAAAGCCAACAAGCATTAGTGTGAAGTATTCCTGCTTCCAAGGTTGGATTTTCTTTGGAATAGTTTACAAATGCTTTATCGGAAAAAATCTATGAATAATGTGAAATTGTGTTGCACAGAAAAGAATAAAAGTATTATACCTCACAAAATTCAGTTTGTTGTCTCAAGACAAATGTATATTCAGAAGATCCAAATTAAAGTTGCCCATCAGCTTTGTATTATCTTCCTCGACTGCTAACTTTAGACACCAAGTTTCCCTGCATTGCCCCCTACTGGTTAAGATGTGACCCAGGCTACAAGGGTTAGGCATTAACATAACAATAATTCACTTCTTGATATTTCTAGTCGTGCATTTTGTCACAGCTACTGAACCGGGAGACCTGAAAGCCGCTCCTGACCCTCCACACTGAAACATGAGATAAGAGCAGCTCCTTCTATCAGGTGGGATGCTAATGTGAAGCAGTGAGGTGGTGGAGGCTTGAAGTGGAGCAGCACTGGCTCTCAGTTCAATACTGTCGTAAGGTCGATGTCCGCCGGGTCAGTGCTGGAACGGGCGGCCCAAACAAAGCAGGACGGGTTGTTAAAGCGTGCGGGTCTGTCTCAATTATAAACCCTGGAAATGCAGCTCCTCAACCTGCTGCATGTCAGAGTGAAAACTTCCAGACTGTTGGTCCTGAGTGACCCGGCATTAAGTCTGGCCACTCAGTCCCTGTGCTGGTTCTGGAAGGCGGTCTGCCCAGCCCAGAGCTGTAATCTAACAGGTGTGTTGAAGGTTTCCACCACCTTTCTGAACTTGATTTCCAAACCTTCCTGGGAAGGATCTGCTGGAAGTGAAAGCTGACCCAAGAACTCCTGGTGGGAGGTTCATCCCAAACGGACCCAGACAGAGAGGGGAAGAAGACGGGTTGACTTACCGGCAGAGACAGCCTCTTGAGCTGCTCCCTCCTCTCCAGCCGTCCGCTCATCGACCCTCTGCCCAGCACCGATCCGCTCACCTGGGCAGCCCTGCGGGACACAGAGGGGAGGAGTCAACAGGGAATGCACCGAGTCCGCCGCCCGGTCAGAGCAGAGTCCAGTTTCACTTTCTGATGCCTCCCTCTCTTTTCTCTCCGTTTCTCTCTCTCCGCCCAAACACAAACCCCTCTGTGTTGTTCTAGGCCTTTCCAAACAGAGCTGGGAACCAGTCGGACCCACAGCGGAAAGCAAACACTTCGCTTCATGCAGACTACGCTTTGACAAAGACCCCGGGCTCCTGGACCCACGGGGGGCTGAGATATTCCTACAGGAAGCAGGAGCAGAGGCCCTTTAATCCCTTTAACCATGATGTGATGAACGCTACTCCACACATGACTTGGAAAGACGGTGGTGGCAGCATGATGCTGTGGGGTTACTTTTCTCCATATAAAAGAGTTTGTTCTACGTTTTGTTTTCATTATGTTGGAGGAAATATTACAACTGTTCCAAATAGAAGTCTGTTTTCACCTTCGGACGTCTATCAGGAACATGAAGATAAAGAGAGCTTGCTAAGTTTCAGAACAGTCTAGTCAAAGTACAGAACTATATCTGTGGGTTCATTTGGTGATGATTTGTTTTCTTATATATATTAGGGCTGGACAATAAATCAATCATATATATCAGAACATGATGAAAATCAATAGATAGGACATGTGATAGAATATTCAGTGAATCCTGATCCAGAGCAGCAGAGCATTCTGGGAGATGTAGGCAAAGAAAAGGCTTCAGCTGCCCAACATCTCATGGCCAGCTGAGCAAGGCTGGTGGCCACAATTCACTTGGCCAGCAACTTACTCACTCTGTGGTTACCTAGAAACAATCTATACTATAAAATAAGGTGCGCAGCAGCAGTTTCAGGTTTCTCTACAACCTATCATGACTGACTGCTAAAAATAAAATAAAAAAACAGTGTGGAAAGAAAATTATGGATGGAACAGGAAAGGTCACTCCACCAGTTTCGCAGGATTTCAGATATATAAAACAAAAAACTAATCAATAATGATCAAAATGAACTGATAAATGTTTTTTTCAGTCATATCATTCCATCCTGTGACATAGTCTTGTCTAAAAATGTGTTTAATTGAGTTTTACAGGATAAACATCGGATTAATTAAGGGAGTTGTTCGCTCAGAAACCTGTTTCTAAATGGATCAGTGTCCTGATCCACAGTGCTTCATGTTGTTGAAGTTAGTCGTCTCTGGATCCGTTACGGCCCGGCTGAGGCTTCATCAGCATGACTGCACTTGTCAAACATAAGCACGCATCAGGCCGACGGGTTTTACCCGCCGCTGGCCCGCGCTTATCAACGCCAAGCGCCGGGATGCCCCGGGGTGCCGCCGTTGACGGTTGGACCACTGAACCGCCCTCTGCCCCCCGTTCCTGTCCCGTCCAGGAGGAAGTCAGTAATCGGTGGACAGGAAGTGGGAGGCGGCGGTGTCTCTAAACGAGGCAGAAACAAACACAGCTCTGGATCTGGTGCTGGATCTTTGGAGATCAATGAGGAGTGATAAAGTTAAACCCACACTTCTGAGGTCAAAGGTCAGGGACACTCCTCCAGCTGGTTTCTGCTGCCGGCAGCCTTTCTGGCCGTTACAGAAAGGAGGAGGTCGTGTTCGACCAGAAACATTTCCTGATGTAAACACAACTAAAAATAAAACCTGGCTCCAAATCAGTCTAATAAATAACATAACACCAGGAAGTGGTGTCTTCCTGGTAATGCATATTAAGATGTATTTGGTGTAGGAACCATTACCCCATATGATGATTCTACGGGAAAACAAGGGAAATGAAAATATGAAATATGGTGAAGCATATTACATCAGAGCCGTCCCACAAGACCATGGTGGTCCTCAGACTCCGCTGATTTAAACAGAAAACATTACCGAGGCTGAGGCCGTGGTGATGACCAGAGACACCCGGCCCGGCCCGGCCCAGCAGCATGGGGAGAAGGGGGGGGGGGCAGTAGCATCAGAGCACGCTGACATCTGGGAGTCTTTGTGTGGCGGCGTAATTAGATGGCAGGGTGCAGGGAGGAGACCAGGCAGGACGGTGGGTGGTGGAGGTGGGGGTGGTGGTGGTGGGGGTAACATCTGCTCCAGGAACAAGGGAGGACCCAGCTGAGGTCACAGAGCCCCAGACAGGAGGGGGCAACAGCTTAATGATAACTCTTACAGCTACAGACGGATCAAGGTTCAGTGTGTAAATAACTGCTGATAATGGCAGCAGATCCTCCATGAATGTGAGCCAGAGCTGCTGCTGGTCCAATGCAGGCTGAACACACACCGGCTTCAATCTGCAGCTCCCCCTCCTCGCCTGTGGGGGCGCTGCACCAAGAACCACCGAAGGAGACGACACATTAACCTCTAAAAAAAAAAAAAGACACTGAGCGCTACTTCCTTCTTCACCACTTGGAAACAAAAATGGAGTAGCATCAGTTTTTAGCGGTTGGAGGATTTCTCTCGTCCGCCTGCTGGCGCCAGGCTAGAATATTTGTTTTGGTTGTATTTACCCAGAATGCCACACGCTCTAGTCCACTTCCTGCTTTTGGGGCGGCTTGCGGCCCAGTTGGTGTTCACATATGCATTCAAATCGCACCAGCATTCATTTCAATCGAACCCAGACTGACGTTTGCACATCCAGTGGTATGCAACCACTCAGGGTTTTAGATATCAACTCTTCCAGTGATGCTCAGATTGGACAGATTGTGGAGATTAAACAAGAGATTACCAGAACACGAGGGTGGGAATACCTAACCAGTAAACCATGTCCATCACCTCTGGCCCATCTGGAGATGTTGAGCTGCTCTCGTCGCTCCAACGCCTGAATAATACACCGACGTCTCCGGTGATGGCTGGTGGATGAGCACTAGCACCATGGCTGAATTATGAATATTATGAATATAAATTATGAACGGATGTCACTGTTTATCGCATGAACAACATTATTCACGTGTGATTTAAATTTAATTTCTCATTTAATGGAAACAACAATTGCAAAATTGTGTGTTTTTTGGGGGGTTTTTTTTACATTAGCAGGAAATAGTCAAAGATTTTAGAACATTTATAATGGAAATGCTGCTATTATCACTCACTAAGCGAAGCCAGGGGGCGCCGTGAACTTTGCTCCCTCTTCGTATCGACCGAACACTTGATTGAGCAACAGAAACATCAGAGAAAGACTCTCCTCTGACCTGCAGCCCTGAAGAGCTTTCATTGTGAGTCGGGTTATACATTAAGCTTTCAGGAATAATGCAGCAGATACATTAAAGCAAACAGCAACAGGCCGAGACTGGCTGGATCCTGCAGGAGCCTCACTGGTCTGAGCCGGTGAGGATCCAGAGGTTGTTTCCGATCAATCGGCCTAAAAAGATCCAGGAAGTGGCGGCGGCAGAACACGGACGGAAGGGGAGATTGGACATTGATTGGTGCACCCCCTTTTTAGCCCCAGGAACCAGTTCGTTTAGTGTCCCTGCCCCGTGAAAAGAGGTCACACCCCCACCCGCTTGCACGGGAGGAGGGAAGGGAGGGTGCCATTACTTTCCATTCACTGAGGAGAAAATGAAACGTGAGGTTTACGATGTGGACAGAGCAGCACACGGATGTTTGGAAACCCCCTGATCCTGATTCTGTACAGCTGGCACAATCACAGTGTATGAAAAGAAAGGCTTTATATGCAGTGACAGCATGAAAACTGATTTCTACAAATCGACAACAGTGAAATCATTCACTGTTCCAGCCAACAACGACAGAGAGCACAGAGAGCGGCCTAGTCAAAGTCCGGACCCGTGCACAGCTGATTCCCCACCGACCTTACACAAGCTGGAAGAGTATAGATGAATATCCTGACTGGGCGGGAATGATTATGCAGCCACTTACAAATGAAATTACGTAGTATTTCCAAAAAGAGGCTTTTAATCCAATCATCTGTTCTGTGAGTTCAAGACAAGACTCTTTCTAGCCTGGCTGATTATAGAAGCGCTCCCTGGTGAGGCGACAGTTAATTATCAGAGCATCACAAACCGAGGCCATGCAAACAAAATAAATTCATAAACCCCGGTCTGTCAGTCAAGCCTGAACTGCTAGCTGTGAGCCGCTGCACATTTCAATGACGGTTGAAACAGCAAAGCTCAACCTTTCATTCGTTTCTATAACCTGCTCTCAACTGCAGCGAAAGGCTGAATAGACCAGTTCTGTGATGTTGCACTAAGCAAACACCTTAATCACCTCTTGACCTAAAACTGTGTCAAACAAGACAAAAGGAAACGAGCCGCTAGCATGACGATGCCCTTCTCTGACACGCGTGAACTTGTCTGAGTGACTGCAGCTCTTGTTTAGTCAGCAGAGCTGCTGCTGGGGGGGGGTGAAACGGTGGGAGCGGGTGGGCTCAAAGGTGAGTGGAAAATATGGACAAAACAGAGACTGGATGCTTTAATATGCATCCTGGAAACAGATCTGATTAACTTCCTGCTGTGGGACACCCCCGCCTGGTGTTCCTCAGGGCGGCAGCGTGACTCTCTGCTGAACTCTCTCATGATGACGGTGCCGGATTTAGACAAAAAACGCCAGAAAAACAAGTGAGAATGCCCAGCAGGCCGAGAGAGAGAGAGACACAGAGAGGGTAGAGGAATGTTTCCAACCGTTATCAAAATATACAACAACCACTCCACCACCAGCTAGGTATGTGAGCATCATGCGACGGCAGCTCACCAGAACACCGAACACATGCATTTCATCAGCAGACTGCTGACAGCTTGAGAAACAACAGTGTGTTTATGCTGGTGAATGTTTTCCACTGGAGTTCCCCCCCGCCACAACCCCCTATCGCCTCACAGAGAACGACTGTACACACGGGTTTGATGTGAACCCGAGCGCCGGCTCATTGTTTTCACCCACCACAACGCAGTGTAAGCACCAAATTAGGGCCGCTTCGCCGGGAGACACTCAACTTCTTGTTACATTAAGAAATGCACACAAAGCCAGGCTTGTTTCCTA